CGTCGCCGTCGCCGTCGCCGTCAACGCCGTCGCCGTCGCCGTCGCCGTCGTCGCCGCCGCCGCCGCCGCCGTCGACGTCGACGTCGTCGTCGCGTCAGTCCGGAGGTAGCCCAGATCGTGTCCGGCCACATCCCCGCAGCGGGCTTTGCCCTCGGGAGGCCTTCGACGACCTGCAGCTCTCCCCTGGCCGCCAGGGGCCGCCCGAGGCATCCCGGGAATCCCGGGCGCGAGGCTCCGGGGTGGACGCAGCACTTGCCGGCCCCGCGACCAGGGAATGCCACCTCCTCGTTCTCGTTCTCGTCATCGTCCTCCTCCTCCTCCTCCTCCTCCTCCTCCTCCTCCTCCTCGTTCTTGTTCTCGCCCTCTTCCCTCCTGAACGGCAGGCTCGGGGACCTGTGCACTGACCTGGAGCAGTGCAAACCTGGGTCAGTCGGGCTCTGCAGGATCCTGTAAGATCCTGCGGGATCCTGCGCGCAGGCCCGGGTCAGCGAACCCCCTGCTCTGCAGGATCCTGCAAGATCCAGCGCTCTGGCTGACCCGCGTTTGCGCTGACCCCCGTCTCAAGACTCCCGACAGGCTCGAGCCGTCACGACGCCGGCGCTGGTTCTCCCAATGCCGCGTGGATCGCTCAACCTTCTAGCGATCGTGGATGTCTGGCAGGTCGGATCCTTCGACACCTGCTGGCTCTGGGCCTCCAGGGGCATTCAATCAATCTCCGTTCCTGATTCCAACGCCGCCGCCGCCGCCGCCAGGGATCTTCCAGAGTGTGGACCCATACAGTCAGAAGCCGAGCGTGCGTCTTTGGCCGACGATTTCGACCAAGAGTACGCCGAACTTGCCTACACCGCCGCCTCGGCCTTCGGGTTTGACGGCATCGAGTTCGACTCCGTGTTGGGGGAAACCGAGGACACCGAGGGCGCCTCTGTGAAGACGCCACGCCCGCCAGCTCCACCACCGGCGGCATGGCATCTCTGCGGAAGCCCCTCACCGAGGCTGAGTGAAAGGAGAAGCGGAGGGCCAAGCGGTTCAAGAAGAAGCAGAGAGGGTTCAAAGGACATGTGGAAATTGGAGCAGGACTTGATTACGTCGGCGACCGTCGGCGAAGGCCGTTGAAGAAGTAGCCGATGATGCTCGGTGTGTTGGCGCTGGCTCTGAATTGCAAGAGGGTGGTGATCTTCTCGACGGAGCTGGTGTTGTTCATACACCTGGAGGAAGAAGCGGGGTCGACCCCACCTTTGGGATTGCCGCTGGCGGTCTGCCACGTGTTACTCTCCGCGGCGGCGCAACTGATGAAGCTGATCCTAAGGTGGTTCCTGAAGGCGGTGGAGTTTCCAGCGATGGCAGGTACCTGTCGGTGCAGCTCTCGGAAGATGGCCTTTGCCAGCGGATGCGGCTCGTCTTCGGGGACCAGGCGCAGTATGCGATGGCGCTGATGTTCCAGCTGGAGGATGGCACGATCTCGCAGCACACGTTCAACGAGTGGGTGCAGGAGCTCGTGAAGGCCTCAAGTACATCGTGGTTGGCCGGTGCAGCAGAGTTGGTCTACTTCGACTTGGAGCTGTTGTGGCTCAAACCTCTCTCCTCTGAGCGTGCGACTTTCCGCTTTTAGCCTGCCTGCCAGTCGCTTCGTGCAGCCTGCCTGTGCAGCCGTCCACAGCAAAAACCACGTCCTCCTCCTCCTCCTCCTCCTCCTCCTCCTCCTCCTCCTCCTCCTCCTCGTTCTTGTTCTCGTCTCCTCCTCGCGGCCGGGCCTGCATCTGGCCCTCCAGCCGGCCGCTCTTCTGCTGGCTCTCCATCAGCTGAACCACGGCCCGCTCCTTAGACTTCTTCCGGGCCTCGGGTGCCGCCCCCTTCGTTCTCGAGGAGGAGGAGGAGGCGGAGGAGTAGGAGTGGATGATGGAGGAAGATGAGATACTGTAATCCCGGGGCGAAGACAGCAGACAAGATGGCCAGAGGAGGCAAGTTCAAGACTCGAACTCTGGAAGGGGGGAGCGGGAGGGAAAAGGGGGTAGTGGCAGGGGAGGAGGAAGAAGGAGGGAAGGGGAAAATGGGAGGAGGAAAGGGAAACAAGGAGGGGGAAAAGGAAGGAGTAAGAGTAGGAGGAGCAAGCAAGCAAGCAAGCAAGCAAGCAAGCAAGCAAGCAAGCAAGCAAGCAAGCAAGCAAGCAAGCAAGCAAACACGATCGGATGCCGTCCACCTGCCTCCCTGCCTGTGACCAAAAACATCTGAATGGCGGCGGTAAGACCATAGCTTCCCTCACCGGCGAGCGTTCCTGCGGCCCTCGACCCGCCCCTTGGAAACGGGGTGCCGCCTGAGAGGGGGTGGTAGGCGCACCACTCATGAGTTCCCCGAGTGACGAGGAAGAGGAGGAGGAGGAGGAGGAGGAGGAGGAGGAGGACGAAGACGAGGAGGAGGACGAGGAGGAGGAGGAGGAGGAGGAAGAGGAGGAGGGAGGAGGAGGAGGAGGAGGAGGAGGAGCAGGAGGGATGAGCGCAGGAGACGGGGGGGGAAGGGAAGAGGGGAAGAGGGGAAGAAGAAGAAGAAAAAAGGGAAGGGACGACGGGAGGGGGAGCGGAATGGGGGGGGAAATGGGGGGAACAGGAGTCAGGAGGGGGGGTGAAGGGTGGAGCGGGGAGCAGCCGCGGAGAGGTCCGAACGCCCGGCCTCGCGTTCTGCCTGGAGCTGCTCCTGCTCCTGCATGCGCGCGCCAAGGCGGGGGACTGGGTGCGCGCGGCGACAGAGGAGGTCCGCCGCCGCCGGCCCGGAGGAGGAGGAGGAAGAGGAGGAGGAAGAGGAGGACGAGGAAGGGGATTGGCTGATGCGGAAGCAAAGGAAGCGGAGGAGGGGGGGACTCCACGGTGAGGGTGTTTTAGCTCTTCGAGGGCCGAAACGTGTGCATGCATAAATTCGCGACCGCACAAACAATGCTTGCACAGCCCGCAGGCGGGACCCCCAGCCCCCAAGGCGGCGTTTACCTCCGCGCCCACCGTTGGCCTTCGGCCTGGGGTCCACCGCCTGCGTTCTCACAGTCGCCGCGCGCGCCAGCCGCCCGCGCGACGTTCAACGGCTCCGTCGTGGCCTCGCCCTCGTGCTCGCCGCGCACGGTGGACTCGGCATCGGAGCTGGTGAGCTGGTCTCGGGCGCACCAGGCCTCGGGGGGGTGGAACCACCCTGCCAAGCGAGCCAGCCACATCGCTGTCACCCGTCGGCGAATCCACCTCAGGCGCCGAGGCTCCATGGCGCGCACCAGCTCCTGCTTCGCTGACTCAAGCTCCTCGTCGCGCTCCTGCGCGCCTCGGCCAGCGCAGTCGGGCACGCCCAGCGCGTCGAGGAGCACGACTGCCTCGCCCTCGTCGGGACTCATAAGGTCCAAGAGCGAGTCCTCCACTTCACCAGCTTGCTCCATCTGCGCAATGATCTCCGCCTCACCTTCCAGCGAGAGCGCCTCGATCGCCTCGAGGTCCTGCGAGCTCAAGCGAAGCGCTGAGACCCCGCGCACGAGCTCCGCGTGGTAGTCGGCCGCAGGCTTCCGAATGAAACCCAGCTGCCCATTCAAGACGGCCTGGACAGTCCGCTCGGCCACCTGCGGCCCCTGCTCGGCGAACACAGCCTGATCCAGGGGCTCCTGCAGCCCATCCGATGCGCAGGCGATCTCGGCCTCTTTGTGCCCGTGGCCTTCGCCGCAGGGCCAGTGCTCGTCGCTGTAGCGGTCAGCATCGTCCTCCTGCTCCTGCGCTCGGCCACTCAAAAGTGCCCCGTCGAAACGGTCGAGGTACTCCAAAACCCTGGATTCCAAGCCGAACTCTGACGGGTATGCGAACTCGTCCGAGTACGCCGTGGTCATCGTGTCGTCGCTCGTCGCCACGCCAAGCCCGACAAGCGGCTCCTCCGCGTCATCGGCGTCGGCGATGGGGCCGCGTGTGGAAGCAGGGTTCGACGGCGCGCCGTCGGCGACGCCCCGAGCCTCCGACCCGCCGCGCCGAACCGCGGGCGTCATCGGCACGGGCGCCAGCAGCTCCGCGGTCACACCCTCAGACTCCGCGAACGACTCCTCGAGCTCCGACCCCGCGGCGGTCTTTACATCGGCTCCGTCCTGCTGCTCCGCCAACCCCTGCACGCGCGCCTGGAGCTCGGCCAGCCTCCAGCCAGCCTCCAGGCCCTGCCCGAACGCAATGGCGCGGCCCTCCGACACCTGGTCGCGCTCGAGCCAGGTCCCAGGGGCGTGGGGCTGCACCTGCTCGAGGACCAGGGCTACGGGGGTCGGCGCTCGCTCTCCAGAAGGCGCGCGAGGCGCACGCCGCGCGGGCGCTGGCCCTCCTGGCCAGTGCCGCGGGCCATGCTGCGCAGCTCGCCACTCCGCCCAGCCCGCTCCAGCTCCTGGCAGCGTCCGCGCGTGCTGAGCGCAATTCCGCACGAAGCGTGCCTCGTCGGCGGTCTGCTCGCCCAAGATGCCGGCCACCAGCGCCGGGCGGGAGAGGCGCTCGCGCCTGGCCACGCCTCGAGGTCGGCAAGGGCGCCTTCCCTCAGCGGGCCGCAGGGCTTGCCGTGGAGAGCTCTCCAGAGGCCGCGCTCGCAGGCGATCTGCCCGCGACGCCGAGCGGCGCGCCGAGCAGCGGACGCCCCTCGCAACTCGGCATCCGCCTCACGCATGGGCCGCGCCGCGCGGCCCCCCGAAGCCATTAACACCAGAATCTGGCTTGAGCCAAAATGGCTACGGACGGTGAGGGTGTTTTTTTAACTCTTCGAGCGGGCGCGAACACCCGCGTGGTCATGCCACGAATTCACGCGGTGAGGGTGTTGAGTAAAAAAACATCGGATGAGGAATCCAGAGCCTGGGCGCCGGTGGAACTCCAATGGTGGACTGGCTATGGATATCACCGCCGCCCTCATCAGGTAGGGGATCCTGCAGGGGCCGAAGCCTCACCTGGTCTGATTCCTTAACCAAAGCCCCCACCGTAGGCTCTAAGCATGGCGCGCCGCAACTCCGACACGTCATACGAAATAAAACCAGCACGATTAAGATAAGGAGGAGGAGGAGGAGGAGGAGGAGGAGGAGGAGGAGAGGAGGAGGAGGAGGAGGAGAAGGGGGATGAAGGGGATGGGAGGGAGGGGGCAGGAGCGCACCGTGCCTCGAGAGGGGGAGGAAGGAGGAGGAAGAGGATGAGGACGAGGAGGAGGAGGAGGGGGAGGAGGAGGAGGAGGAGGAGGAGGAGGAGGAGGAGGAGGAAGAGGAGGAGGAGGAGGAGGAGGAGGAGGAGGAGGAGGAGCAGTAGTAGTCCCAGGATCCCTCACCTTTCAGGAACGCTTGAGGAGTGCCGAGGAGTATGCCAAGCAGTTCACCAGGATGCTCGGGAGCACTTTGTATCAGCTGAGCCGAGTAGGGTTTCCAGATGTGTCTAGAATTAGGAATCCAAAACTCATGCCCCCAAGACAGCTTGGGGGCGAATCTGTATGCACCATCAGGCTAGTGATAGGTGACACAGGTCACCTTGTCCATGACGAAGGGGGGCTCTGGGGCTGCAGGACGTGTGGAGTTACCTCTGCCCGTCGGGCTCGAGTTGTCAGCCTCCCTTGCCCTGGGGTCCCCGAGATAGTTTCTAGGTCTCACGAATCCCGCCGACTGCGGGTGGCGGGGGACACGTACTACTCCAACCTGTGCGGGGCGTACGCGACGGGCCAGGCCAAAGGACTGGTCGCCCGCTGCCCACTGTCAGGACCTGGGGAGTGGGGGAGGAGGGCTCTCAAGCAGCTCAAGATGGGGAAGAACCCGACGACGAAGCAGTTCGTCGGGCGCCCATTCCCTGTCCACTGATCTCCCCCCCAGGTCCCTTTCTTCCCAATTCTAGGCTCTCTTGCGGCTCGCTACGGGATTGACCTTCCAGAGGCTCCAGAGGAGGAGGAAGAAAGAGGAGGAGGGAGGAGGGAGGAGGGAGGATGATGGAAGCGAAAGGGGAAGGAGGAGGAGGAGGAGGAGAAGGAGGAGGAGGAGGGGGAGGAGGCGGGGAAGGAGGAGGTCCGCTTTCGCAAGACGTCGCTTGATGGGCAAACTCACCCGAGGCTGGTAGATTGGAAAAGTCCTGCACCGCCTGCGCCAACGGGGTACCTGCGCGATCTTGGACAGGCGCCCCTATTTTGGATATCATCTCAAGCGAGACCCAAACAAAAAGGCTACACGCTTCGCCCCCCTAGGGGCTCTTCGGGCCCAACTGCCTACGTTGCAGCATTGAGCGAGCATTGTGGACGATGGGACCAGAGGCCAGCCTTGGACAGGCGACCTTGGACAGACGCCCACTGTCCCCAGGTCAATGTTGATTGGCTTGGTCGGCAGGGTGCAGGATTGTGCCAGTCGACCGATCAAATCGGGGGCGCGGGTTGCGGCCATAAAAAAATCAAGAAGGCTGTGCAGGAATGCGCCAATCAACAAAAGTCGGGGGGCGGTTGACTTGACCCGTAGGGATCCCAGGGCCCGTAGAGGAGCAATAATGCACAGACGTTGCGGTGTTGGGCCATCTTGGAGGTCGCCCAGGGCCGTCCTGGGTTGCTCCAGACGCCGCCCTGAAGCCTTCTTGGAGCCCTCTTGTGGCAGTCCTGGGGCACTCGGGAATCTTCTCGGGCCCTACTCCTCCCCGCCCTCCTGCGCTCGTACCTCGGACAAGACCGAATGATCGACTGATACCTGATGGCCAGGTAAGGGCAAGGACCCCTCCTCGTCCTGCTCACCCTCCTCCTCCAGTCTTCTTCTTTATAAACAACTCGTTGTCGCATTCCGAGGCCGGTCGAAAGGGCGGGCCAGGTGTTTCGCTTGAGACTTCCTAGCCATGTGTGACCCTGAAGCTGAACAATTGGCAACAATCTGCCAAACGGAGACCGGGTCGCTTCCGAAACGTGGCTCTCGCCATAGCGCCACGCACATGTATTAAAACATCGCCAGAGCTTCACGGATTGAGGGCGGATCGTTTTCAAAAGGTTGCTCTCGCCACAGCGCCGCGCCCATTCGTTTTCCTGATTTTTGCAAGCGCTTCACGGATTGAGGGCGGCTCCTTTCAAAATGTGGCTCTGGCGTCAGCGCCGCGCACATTCGTTCTAACATGTTGCAACAACTTCACCGATTTAGGGCGGCCCCCTTTTCAAAGTGTGGCTATCGCTCTGGCGCCGTGCACACTCGTCTCACTGTAAGCATTTGCAAGAGTTTCACGCGTTCCCATTGTCAGCGCTCGAGAAATGGTGTGTTGGAAAGACTCAAGATTGTGAGGGCGCAACAGTTACGTTGATTCGCAGCGTTGGCATCCCAGGAATGATGCTCGGGCTCGATTCCGGATCGTCATGTTGATTCGTGGCGTTGGAGTCCCGAGCATGGTATTTTGGAACGCTTCAGGGCCTTCAACCGGTTGTCTTGTCTCCCAACGAGGAAGTTCCCTCAGTGGGAATGAAACCTTGCAGAGCCTATGGAGAGGGAGCTTGGAGGGAGGGTTCACTCCAACATCGTTAATGAATCTCGAG